ACCTGTTGGCGGGAAGAAGGCCTCCTGGCTTCAAACAGTTGTAAATCAGGGGATCGAGGAAGGTAACATACCTGAAAATCTCTCTCTTCCTCTTCTCTCTCACTCCCTCTTTTTTCACTCTCTCTCTCTCTCTCCCCCTATCCCACTCCTCTGTCACACGCACTCAAAGTTGAGTGTCACTCCAACTAAGGAGAAAACCACACTGGTTGAGCAGGCTCCCAAAACCCTTTACTAGCACTGATGAAGCTACCTGGTTGGGTAATGAAACGTCTGCAACCAAACAACCAGGACGAGAGAGAGCACTGAATACCCCCACAATCCTCCTCTCTGCAAACTTCTCTCCATTCTAGCACTGATGATGAGGAAACGTCTGCAAGCAAACAACCAGGCTCAGAGAGCACCAAGGACCTCCCTGGTTTATTTTCAGTTTCCAGAGCCAGAACAATCTTATCCTAAAACTTTTCTTGTAATTTAATTTAGAACAATTGCACACGTGTCCAGTATCCCAAAAGAGAGGTCTAAGGAAAGGCCTTGGGGCTTTGCTGTGCTTGTTTTTTTAGAAGTTTGATTATCCAATGAATTATCCAATGATTATCCAACATCGCTGATGCTAGTGAGCGTGACCATATATAAATATGGTATATGTGCCAGAGGTAGGTTGGGTGTGGTTTTTCCCTTGGTAAGTCCTTGATTACATTGTTATTGTCTGCTTCATTGTTTGTCCAATGTAACTACCAAAGAGAAAGTCGTGCCCTCATTGGCAGAGCAAGCTCCTACATATAAACAAGGGACAAACCCTATACTCTGTAACCCTGATGATGTTACCTAGTTGGGTAATGAAATGCCTGCAAGCAAAGAACAAAGCTCAGAGAGCACCACAGATTCTACATCTCGCTCCGTGTGAAAAAGCAACTATTTCACAGCAGACAGGTACACTTAGCAGTCTTCAGGTGAGAAACTGTCTGCAGGGGTAGGTTTTTCTCACCGACTTCCAATGACACATTTTTATTTTATTTTACTTTTTTTTTTTTGCTGGCTGCAATTTTCCCACACCGGCGCTTCGCTTCAGCTGCCCCTAAGTTAAAACCTCACATTATTATCTCAGCATTGCTTCCGCTACCGCTGCCAAAATTGTAAGACGGAGCATACATATCTTTCTGAAAGACATTTGAAAGAAGAAGGACAGAAGAAGAGACAGGGAAAGGAGGAAAGTTGGGGGAAGAAGAGAAGGGGAAGGAAGAAAAGGGAAATGGGAAAAAGGAATGGGAAAAGGAAACGAAAAAGGGAAGGGAAGGAAGAGGAGGTGAATGGAAGGGAACGGAAGGAGGAAGAGGGAAGAGAAAGAAAAGAAG